GAGCCGAGAGTGCTTTTCATCTGTTCATTACTGCAGATTTCCTAAGCAGGAGTCCCATACGACAAAACGAATGGGAGTTGCACCCAAAGGTATTTGCACAGATTGTCCAATTATGGGATCAGCCAGAGATGGATTTATTTGCTACCAAAGAAAACTGAAAGACTCGGGAGTTCTTCTCCCCGAGCAGGGAACAGGCCTCCAGGTTTTATAGAAATTGAGAAGATCAGCGTGTGCTCTCATTCTGTTGACACCCTTTTGGCCAAAGAGAACATGGTTCTCGGAGATACTGACAAAATCAATCCAGTCCCAGTGGACCCTTCCAGCAAGGAAGGATCCTCTTCTTCAGGGCCCAATCTTGCATCCGAACCCGGATTTTTTGCACTTGATGGCCTGGCTCTTGAAAGGAGGATTTTGACGGGGCAGGGTTGTTCAGAAAAGGTAATCAACACACTTTTTTTTATCTAGTAGAAAATTAGTTACTAGAAAGATCTAGAAAGATCTATGGAAAGGTCTGGAAAGTATTCTCGAGCTGGTGTATGGACAGGAGTGTTGCGTCCCCGTCAATACCCCCAATCTCAGAATTTTTGCAAGATGGGGTTGAAAAAGGATTAGCCCTAAGTACCCTTAGGGTGCAGATGTCAGCCCTTTCTGTTTTTTTGCAGTGTAGATTGCTGGAAGAGTCTCTAGTTAAAGGAGAACTATGAGATGAGTGATTTCCACTCCCTACATGTAGTATACCGCGAGCTGTAGCTCGAGGTATACTGAGCTTAGGGTAACGGGAGGACGCTAGTTTGTGTCCTCCCGTTACCCTAAGGAGAACTATGGGGAAAAACACTGACCCCATAGTTCTCCTTTTTAAGAGATTTTTGTTCGCAACAGAACGTTCTTTTCCTGTTTAGATCAAAGGTATTTCCTCCCTGGGATTTATCTTTGATACTTACTGGTTTGACCAGATCTCCATTTGAGCCTATATCAGGGGCGCTTATTAAGTGGTTGTCCCTTTTTTAAGATGGTTTTTCTCTTAGCTATTACCTCAGCCAAAAGAGTGGGAGACCTTCAGGCACTATCGATCAAGGACCCATACTTAACTACCTTCCCAGACAGAGTAATTTTGAGACCAGATCCATTGTATCTTCCCAAGTATCATCCCAGTTTCATAGGTCTCAGGAAATTATCATGCCTTCGTTTTGTGAGGATCCAAAAGATCAGAGGGAGATATTTCACACTCTAGATGTTGGGCTGTGTCTCATTGAATACCTGGAAGCAACTAGGCATTTCAGAAAGTCTAGCCATTTGTTCGTTTTGTTTTTTGGCCCAAGAAAAGGGTTGCAGGCCTCTAAGGCATCTATTGCCAGGTAGATCAGACAGGTTATTGCCTGGATTTATAAGTCTGAGGAAAAGGAGTTACCTCTTTCAGTTAAAGCCCATTCGACCAGGTCATTGTCCACTTCCTGGGCAGAAAGAGTTGGGCATCGGTGGAGCAAATCTGCAGGGCAGCTATCTGGTCAAAAAAGGGTACTCATCAAACACTACCGAATTTAAGTCCTGTCCCAGCAAGATCTGGCCTTTGGCAGAAAGGTGCTTCAAGCAATTGTCCCGCCCTAAAGAGGTAGGCTTGTATTTTATGTACTTGTTTATCCTCTCAGGTTGCTGTCCTGGAAGATGATTAGGGAAATGTTCCGTTAGACTTACCGGTAACGGTATTTCTAGGAATCTTCCAGGACAGCAAGCCTACTTCCCACCCGGAATAATGTATGGAATGTTATTTGTTGTTGGTGTGTCCCCTCGTTTTCTGGGGTGGTAGTCTACTTTTATCTCAACTGAGGTACGAGGGGAAGGGGAGGGGCTTTTAACTGTTTTACTAATTGTGTTTCCTGTAGAAGGTGGAACCAATCATCTCAGGTTGCTGTCCTGGAAGATTCCTAGAAATACCGTTACC